TAATTGTTCACCATTTAAAATTGTTCAGTTATCTAATTGTTCACCATTTTCTCCATTGAAGTTAAAGATTCTCAATTCAACATACTATGCTATTTTTTATGGCAACTCATAATAAGAATTTAGATTTATAGTCTTGAGGCCAATGCAATATGTTTTTGTTTCTTACCAATGTTTTGTTGGTTGATTGCAGATTTTAAGGTTCAATGGACTGGATCACAATTTTGCTCCATTTGTGCAACATGCAGGAGTTCCATCTATTCATGTGTATCATGTACTCATTCATACGAACAAAAAATATTTCAAAAGCAAGCCATTGATGCAAGTAAACTTGATTGAAAAGCCAAGCCAGTGGGAAATATCACATATGAATGTACTTATTCTTGTTTTGCTATGTAATATTATCTTGTTATTGGCTTTTTTTGTGTATGTAAGGGGTCAATTTGGGATTTAAAAGGACTTGAGCGTTTGGTGTAGTTGATTAAGGTTTGTTTCTTTTCATTCAGTAAATTTGGACAAAACTGATCTAGGTCGTAATTAATAATAAACATCAACTCAAGCAAAAAAATTATTTGACGGCTGTTTCAAATAATTTTCAACCATTATTTGACTGTTTTTTAATCATTCAGTAAACACAAATTTTAAATGATGTAAAAATAATTGATGATTATACAACTGTAAAAAAAAAAAAAGCATACTTTTATTGTAGTGTATAGTGTTCTAATGAGTTAAACTAATTCTAATTAAATTGATAAAGGCAACAAAATAACTCCGATCCAACCAATATGAACAATAATAAATTATTAAGGTTCTTTTATTAGGAAGATTAATTACTCAACACTTTATAATTCGGTATACTAATTCAATTTATATTGAATTGAAATGATAAAGGCAACAAAATAATTGTGATCTAACTAATAATAACAAGGCTAAGATTATTAAAAGTTCACTTTTTGGAGAGATTAGTTAACATTTATATTTTGAAACAAAAGAATAGATAGAAATGAAGTACTTTTAAAACATTAAAGTAAAAAAATTAGGAAAAAAATTGAATCCTTTGAAAACTTTTCTAAACCCACATTCGAGACAATTTAAAAGTAAGCTGGAGTAGAAAACAACCCAAAGAATTTTCTCCAAATGTCACCCAGCTTGCCATGATAATGGAGAACTTCACTGAGGTGCCAATTCTCTCAAGTTTAGTTTTATTGCAATTATAACATGTTCAAGCTTTGGAAAAAGACCATAGCTGGATTTCATAAATATAAAAAGAAAACATGTTCCATATGAAAGGAAAGTGAATAATTACACAATAAGTCAATTATATTTAATTTCATTTTTGTTTCTTTACATCAAGCATAAGGAATACGCTAGTATTTCCTTTTATGATGATATCACTTTAATTATTTAATCTCAACTGTTCATGACAGTTTTATGTCATATCATCTTGATGTATAAATTACACTTTTCAAGATTATTAAAACATTACCTTTTGTCCACACATGCAATTAATGGGTTTGTGTGAATTTTAACCATTAATCGCAAAACATTTGATTCATTTGATGAAATTTAGAAAACATACTATTCCAATATCGTATCGTTTTTTGAGTAAATGGTCATTTTTACCCCTAAACTTTACCATTAAAGTTTGCAAGTAACTTGAACTTGATACCAGTTCATTTTTGTCAATGAATGGTCATTATATGGGTCATTTTTATCCTCGATGTTAACTTATTCAACGGCCGTTATGTGGGTCTCATCATTTTCTTTTTTAAATACTCCCTCCGTTCTAAATTATAAAACACTTTTAAATAAAATCTCACATATCAATAAACTTCATTAAATACACCTAGCCATATAATCTTTTTCAAAATAAAAATATAAACTTTCAAAAATACCCATCATTTAATATATTGAAAAGAGAAGGGACAAAAATTAATTATATAGAGAGAAAGGGTAATATTAGAATTGGCACATTTAATGAAATCTTAATTTACTCAAAGTATCTTATATTTTAAAATAGAAAAACTCCTTCAAAAGTTTCCTATAATGTGGGACAAAGGGACTATTTTTTTTTACAAGGGTTAAGGGTTAATTTTTTCCCTAGCTTTCACTACAAAAAAGAAAGACTTTTAGCGATGACTTTCACCAATAACTCTAAAAAGCTGCCGTTGAAAGTTTGACTTTTAACAGTGACATGCAAAGTTGATGTTGAAAGCTGTCATAGAAAATGTGACTTTTAACTGTGACTTTAAATGTCATCATTAAAAGTTTGATTTTCATAATAATTAATAATAACTAGATATTATCATCATAAATTTTTTATTTTTTGTTTAATATAATATTTAACATTTTAAGACATTAATTTTACTGTATAATTGTAATTTTATGATGAATACATAAAATAATGTAATGAGTTTTCATTTAATATATTTTATAGTTAAATTGATACTTTAAAATAATGAAATTATTTTAAGATAAGGTTAAAATATTATTTAATACTAATGAGGCAGACTAAAGAATCAAATCAAATCAAACCATATTATTTTAGGTTAGTTTTTATTATCAAGTAATGTTCGGTTTCATTTTGTCCAACTATTTAAGTCAGTTTGGTTCATTACTTTTAGTCAATTCAAGATCAAATCTAACTGAATTGACCAATGCACACCCATATATAAAGTAATAAATTCTTTTAAAAACTTATTGTTTGGTATTTTAATTTGGAATGCTTATATTGTGGTAACAAGCCTCTATTTTCACATGTTTTATAATTAAATTGATATTTTAAATAATAATACTACTTGTCTATAATAAGAACTGTGATAATTAAATTTATTTGTTTATAAAATGATATTTTAACTAACATAGTTTTTCATTTCAGATTTTTTTAAGTTTTGAAGCTTGATGTTGGTTTAAAGGTTCCTAGTTCGATTACTAGTAGGAAAGGGAAAAATGAATGAAATATTCAAAATTTCTACATTTATTATTTAGAATATATGAAATACATCTATGTGATACTATATGATTTTTTGTTTGATACTATCTTGAGACATAAATATAAAAAATTAGATAATATTGTGTATAATTTTCTTCCTCCCTCCGTTCAAAAATGAAAGCCATTTTTTGAGGAGTTGGATGTTCAAAAATATAAGCATTTCTAATTTTTTGAAGTGCAATCATTGTCTTTTTTTCAAAAGTACCCCCATTAATAATGACTTTATATTTATTGTAAGATGTTTAATAGGGATAAATATGAAAAAATAGAGTTAGTTTGAAAGTAGGTAACTACTTTATTGGGGTAAAATTTGATTAAAAATTTCTTATATTTTTTAATAGAGGAAGTATAAGATTATCATTTAAAAATAAAAATAATTAAAAATTAAAATATAATGTAAGAAAGTGCATAACTTTACTTAAAAGTTATTATTAATTGAAAGTAAACTCAAAATCCATATATGAACTCCTATCATAACATTGTAATAGTTTACTTATATCATAGATAGTTACTCCCTCCATTAAAAAATAAGAAGCATTTTTTGAAGTATTAAACACCATATTAAATAAGAATAAATATAAAAAAGTGATATTAATTTGAAGATAAGTAACTGCTTTATTAAGAAATAGGATTTGATTAATTATAGTTTTTAATGGATGGTGTATTAAAATATATAATTATATAATTAGAATGCGATATATACACATACAAATTTATATAAAACATGAAGGCAAGACTTAAATACTTTGCTTTGTATACTTAATATAATTTTGTCTAATCAAATCAAAATATAACTTTAGGTCCCTACACTTTTTTTAAGTGTTCTAAATTGCTACACTTTAGTTTTTTTTAAAAAAAATATAAGGATCAATAACAAAACTTGAACAAAGTGTAAAAACTCAAAGTTATATTTTTCCTAATATTAATAACAATAATTTATTATAGAATAATAACAAATAAAAGGTATAAATGTTATGATTTAATTAGAGAAAAAGTATCTTAAGTATATAATGCAATTTTTTCCTAAACATATATATTTCAGTTGGTAATATTATGTATCATAATTATTTTCCTTTTTAGTTTATTTTTGATAATTCAAAGTACTTATTAATATAACATGGTAAACTAATCCTACTAATAATTTATATTGAAATCCAATTTATATTGAACTCAAATGATAATGGCAATAAAATAATTGTAATCCAACTAATAATAATAAGGCAAGATTATTAGCACTTTATATTTTGAAACAAAGGTCTAGAGAGAAATGAAAATTTTAGACCTTAAAGTCATGGAAATGCTACTATCACAACTCAGATTTCATTGTTAAAACCCACTGATTTCTAGAGTCCCTGCCGTGTTAAAGCCATGGAAAAAGACCATAATTGATTTCCATGACTATAAAAGGGAAGCATTGTTCGTGCGAAAGGAAATGTAAATAATTATACAATAAATCAATTATATTAACTTTCTTCGTTTCAGTTTCTTAACATCAGGCGTAAGGAATACACTAGTATAACTTTTAAAATGATATTATTTTAGTTATTTAATCTCAACCGTTCATGAAACCCAAAAAACAGCTATATATCATATCATCTAGAGGTGTAAATTATACTTTTTAAGATTATTAAAATAATACATTTTGTCCACTTATGCAATTAATAACTTTGTGAATCTCAACCATTCATTATGAGGAATTTAAGTCATTTATAAAACTTAGAAAACACACTATTCTAATAGCCTATTTTTTTTTAATCATAAATGTAATATTTGAAGAAACTTTCAATACACACTGTTTTGAGAGTCCATTGTTTTTTTTTTTTATCATAAACCTAATATTTGGTGAAACTTTTAGCGCACACAGTTTTGATAACCTTATGTTTTCTTATTATAAGCTTAATATCGGATGAAACATTTGGCGCATGTTGTTTTAACAATCCATTGTTTTCTTCACCTTAAAGCTTATTTATATCTATGAGACCCCATTAGCTTAAGTGCGTTTAGACACAAACTTACAAATTGATTGTTACCGAATTTTATTTGCTGAGTTTCATGAAGAAATTGCTCATGAAATCTAATGGTGGCGGAGAAGAAAGTAATGATGATACTAGTGGATAGCTTTGTAAGGGTTTGGTTCTTCAGAGAAATCAGATCAATGGAATACCAAAGGGTATTATGATGATGCTTGCACCGTTCTCTCTCCTATCGTGCCTCTACGAATGCCAGTAAGTTGTTTAATAAATTAATCAGTTGCAGTCTTGGCCTTTCAGCTCAGCACTCTATTAGATTACGCTTTTCATCCTATCAATAACACTTTATTATGAATTTGGCGAACAGACTTAGAGGCATGATTCGCGAGCACTTGGAGAGAAGAAATCGGAGAATCGTGATATGCCTTGTTAAAAAATTTAGTCCATGTTAGGTACTATACCTTGTTAAACAAACATGTTATTGTGATATGATGAAACTATTTCATTTCTTGAAAGTAAAATTTTTTGGTTATAGGAATTATTGAAGAGCTGGAACTATTTGAAGTAATGGTAGGTAGTAACATCTCCACTTTCCAATTTACTATTGTGGTTTTGAAAATTACGTATAGAAAACGGACAGACTGCATAAATTTAATATTTTTCACTCCTTTTAATTTTTCTTTGCTATACTTTTGTTGTAATAATCTGGTAACAAGAGATTATATGGACTTATGAAGGCAACTAATTAAAAGTCTGCCTATTCTTCAATGGGATTTGGGGTTGTCTTGCTCAATTTTTTACTCTCAGAGGACAGATCCTAATATTTTCAAGATAGATAAACATGCTCTCTAATCAGGTTTACTTTTTTTTTTTTTTTAAATGTAGATTGCATATACTGAGTGGGTGGAGCAGAACCTTATCAATATGGGTTCTAAAGATGTGCTTAATGTAGTTAGGCTGTGTTTTTCAAGGATCTGGCTTATGTAGATCTGGTTTATGCATGTGTGTATTTCATTTTTTTAATTAAATGTATAAGCATCCCTTTGGCGATGCTTTGTGATTCACTACTTCGTCCTGTTTAAATTTAATTCATTTCAAATGGAAATAACTGTGTTATAACATTCATGAGAATTATTCGGAAGCTATGAAAAGATTTTTTACATTTATTTTTTTTATGTTGCAAGGTTAGTATCGTACAATACATTGCGTTTGCCTTGGATTTTTTACTAATGTATGAAAAATCAAGCTACTAAATGGCCAAGCCCGGGTTGAACCTCTTTGGGCTTCAAGCCAACCCAAATACTTAAATTATCAATTTTTTTCACTTTTAAAATTTAATTTAATTTAATTTTTTAATTTAAAATTAATTACTTTTATTTTATAAAAAGTATAAAATATATTTTTTGGGATACTTAAACGATGTAGAAGGTTCAATTTTTTTAAAAAAATATGTGAGTCTTAAAATTTAAAAATCAATATTAAAATACATTTTAAATATTATTTTGAGATATTTTATAGTTTAAAAATAATAAAAATATGACAATATAAATATTTGTAACAATGTACTCAAATATATGGTATCTTAGTATTAAATAATCTAAAAGTTAAAGAATTCATTAATATTTTATACATTTTTTTAAAATGAATTTGTTTGTATTAGGGCATTTTCTCTAAGTCCAAACCCAATTGTGCATAGGCCTGAACATTTAAAAAAAATAAAGGTAATATTGTAACAAAGTAACTGCTATTTAAATAATAAGAACAATATTGTTAAATGATTAAGGTTCTTCTATTGGGAGATTAACTACCTAAAACCTTATATTTTGATCTTTGGATCTTCAATGTCATAACTTTGTGAATCAATTCCTTAAGTATGACAATGACTTAATTTCTTAACTTCTAACTCAGACTAACACTCAATTTTTAATTTTTCTCTCATTTAAAAAAGGGTTAAGAGGAAGGGTTACTATGCATCTTAAACTCAATTGTGACTCAATTATATCTTTTAATGTTAAAGATTCTCTCCCTTATCACCCTGCTAAGTCTTCAGGTAGGGAAATTGAAATTGTGGCTAGGGTTCCATCTTCATTTTCCACTAATTCTAATGGGCTCACTATGAATAATTCAGCCATGGAGTCCAACTTCATAATCCTAGTCATATTATTCAATTGGGCCTTTGAAACTGGAGGAGACTTGAAACCTTTGAAAGTGATGAATTCTCCACCCTAAACAGACTGAATAGTGGCCGTACTATAGTTTGAAACATGAAGGCCAATGTCTCTAGCCATAAGGCCCTAAAAGCAATGTTGATAATGGCTACTAGCAGCATAAACTCTAAAACCTGAATCATGTGCTCACAAATTTGTATAGGCAAATTAGGATGTTGCATTGGCTTGTCATGATCTTCCTTATCCCCACCAGCATATGTAAGATCGAAAAATGGCTCCACTTGTCGCGAAAGGTGCTATACAGTTTTGAATGTATAAAATTATCCAAACTCCTACCATCTAAGAGAATCTGGACATTAGTTCCATGAACAAATGTATTAAGTCGGATTGTAGCAATCCCTGAAGACCCTTATGCCGCATAAAGTAACAAATGATGAAGAGTCACATTTTTAGTTTGTTTTTCTCCTATCTCAATCGAGATTAGCTCATCCCTTTCATCTTCCCTTCTTTAACATCATAAGTTGCTTCTTGGTGCATTTATGGGTGGGGGTAAATTTGTCATCATGGAAGTAGCACAATCCTTTTTCCCTTTTAATTTGCATCTCTGCTAGATTGAAGGGTGATTTGGTGTTGGAAGTAAGGGAGGTAGGTTACTCTTACTACCTGAGGGACCCACTTGTGAGTTTGAAAATAACAATGTCAGTGTGTTCTTAGTTACAGTAACCCTATGAGATGGTGAGAAGGCCATTCGAAGCCAAGAAGGATACTCCACAATTTTTCACAATTTGCATGTAGCCTTTTGAGAGCTATGACGTTTGACAGAGTAGTTGGAGCTTGACCTACCACATTGTTGCTCTCTATAAGTGCACGGATTGTAACAAGTAATATAAAATGAGTAAAGTATCGTTTCCTCAAGGATTTATTTAAAAAAACAATGATCAAGCAAAATATTAAGCAAATTCGATCAAGTTGAGCTACACATAGTTAGGTGAAAATGATTTTGTAAATAAAACTAACACTAAAAAATAAAGAAAAGTGATTGATTTACAAACTTTAAACACAAATTAGGACCTAGGATTATTTATTCCCCTTGCATTTCATAACACCAAAATTACCTCCTCTGATAAATACTTTTAATGAAAATAAGTGCTAACCTAGGGTTCTAAAAATACTTGGACAAGCTCTCTCAAGTCATGAACAAGTGTTTAGTTAAATTAATTGTTTAATCTCTTGTTACAATTAATAAAACTCAATTTTAAATACCAACCTTAATGTGGCTATGCAAGGCTAGCAAGTATATCTCTATCTTACTAGCAGAATCATCTATTCAACATGCAAGTATCAAGTTCTTGCACTATTTTACCCAAATTCTACACTCAACCTAGCCTTCTCAAGCATCAATTAAGTGAACCCAATATTTAAATAGTAGCCAATCATTTAGAAGCATTAAGGAAAGAGTAAAATAAATACATATATATCATTAATCATAAAAAGAGAGGAGGAACATAGTGTTAATCCATACAAGAGTTTTAAATAATCTTAGAACAAAGGGTTTAGTTACTCATAATCATCCACAAGCTATAAATATACAAAATAAATGGACCCATTTCAGATTATAAAAGATGAAAGGGAAGTGGAATAGAAAAACCAAAAAAAATGAGCTCCAAATGTCTTTAAAGTTTCAATCTCTTGATCCTAACTCTTATAATGCCCAAATCCTAGCACAACCAAACTCCACATGTGTCTAAAAGTTTGAAGAATGCATTCTGGGTCGAGCTCTCAGCATATATATATATCCTAGCCAATCAATTTCTAATAAATGAAACACAACGTTTTTTTGACAACGGCAAAACTCGCGAACAAAAATCATGAAAATCATTCATTTTGTGTTTGATTTCTTCATTCAAAAGCTTTTCAAAAACATTCACAAAGCTCCAGAAATGCTTTTAATCAAAACTATAATCAAAATAATATGAAATTAGGTCAAAAATATCAAATCAAAGCCAATAATACAAATCCAAAACAAAATGCACATTTTATTAATTTGGGCAATAAAAACATATACAATTGAGCTAAAATAGATTAAAATCTAAGGAAAATGTGATGAAATAAAATAACCTTCTAGAGGTTAACACATATCCTGGTGTATTTTTGTTTTTAAGTCCTCCTACAAAACAATCAATAAGGGAACCTTTAATCATGTCTTCTGAACAATTCGCTAGAGCCATGAAATTCTTCACATAAATCATCATATGAACCCTATTGAGTGAGCTTAAACAATTGCATATGCACGCACTCGTATTAGCTAGGACCAAAATGAGCTTCTATTACTTGAGCTATAACATAGACCATGAAGTAATTTGATTCACCTTTTTCATCATCTGAAATGAGGGTATAGCTGTACCCCCCACCTCCATGTGTATCCCCACTATTACATTTTTTTGGGACTCATTGGCCTTGAAAAACTAGAAGTACTGTTCTGCATGAACAACCAATCCAAAAGTTCTATGCCATGGAAATGAGGGAACTCAACCTTTACCTGTTTCAATAGAGTAGCCGAAAAAGGAATCATTCGTTGTGATTCAGGAATGTTGGATTTTGAAGATGCCAAGTTCGATTCATCCCTTCCATAGTTTTTATCACTATCTCCAAATAACCATCTATCTTCAAGAATTGTTTATCTTTAGTCGAGTATTCTCTGCCATGTTCCTCTCAATGAAGGCATCAAATAGTCACAATAATAAGCAAGGAATAATAGTAACAATTAAATGGTAAATGATCAACTCAGCAATCGATAACTAACATAACAGAGGTTTAATACAGAAATCAATAATGGAACTGGAAAGAAATGATAAAATTAGAAATGCAAGTAGCCTGCGAGAGAGAGAAAGTTGTTAGAAGGAAGATACAATCATAACAAACTCGTCCTTTTCATTCCTAACACATTCATTCTTATCACTCTTTTGCCTCCTTCAGAGTCCGCAACTTTCACGTGGGCTTTTGGATACTCTTACTCCTTGAGGCTTTCTTTTATTGGACCTATCCTTAAGTCACGGCCGAATAATGCTTCATCACGACCAGACTTAGGCTCGTTCTCTCCATGAACAACGTTTGGGCCGTGACATTGGACCAAGAGCAACAACTAATGTTGTCAACTACAATTGGATGGATTATACTAATAACATTGATTTAAGGAAAAAATTGTATAACTTGATGACAAGTTTTTGGCCTATTGGTCAAACACGTAGCCATCAAGAAGAGGACTCAAAATAAATTCTTAGCCATATCTAAGACTAAGACTAGTAGCTCTGTCCCTCATTCTTGTTTGATTTTCGTCAATTAACATTTAAGTTGGGGTTGGTTTATTAGACTTCTAATTATGATGATCTTAGTTTGTGCCTTACATTTACTATTAGATTTTATCATCAAAAGAATTAGCTCTCTTCCTTCCTCGCTAATCTCATACTCGCTCTTTGCCTTTCTTTTTTCCTTGTCGATTTCCAGTCTCTATAGGTGTTTTTTCCCCCAACTCTGATGTGGAGTTTAACATAGGGTTGAGTTGGAGTGATTTTAATTCTTTGAAGGGTTGTTTGTGCCATGTTGGATTACTCATGCAGGATTATAAACCTTTTATTAATAGGGATTTTTTAAATATCTAGAACTTTAGGGACTTAGTCATTGCAAATTGAGTCATAGTTAAGCAATCAAATGTTGATTGAATTAAAATTTAAAAGACTAAAAAATTCATTTTTTAAATGAATATATATAAAAAGTTGCAGGTATAGTTTGGAGGGGGAAAAAAAGCATGGTAGTACCTCGGGCACAAAAAAATCACAAGGACTACTAATGGGATTTTATGAAGATGGAAAAAAAAAAAAAAGACAAGCACCACCAAG